TCTCTAAGGTCTCTGTGCAGCTCTTATCAGTGTGGCAGGATCACTTTACACAGGACTTAGCGTCATCAGTGCCCTAGAGGAGAAAAAACAGCAAACCCTTGTTTCCCAGGGAATCTCTGGCTTCTGCTTTCTTTCCTAGCATTTACACATTTATCCTGCAGTAAAACTATCTGAACAGGAAGAAGACCCTTGTGTCACTCTGCAGACCCCATGTAACTGAGCAAGCAGCAACGGAGGCCTAAGGATGCCCTGGTGCTCTAGGTTTTAGGTGTAGGGCAGACCTTAGTAAAGCTGGAGCTAATGAGCCCCATCTGGTTTGATTGCCAGGGTGAATCAGCAGAATCGCTCTGCAACTCTGCACAGCATCCTAAAGCCTGACCCCTGCTTATTTCCTCCCATAATGCATCTATAAAGGGGGAGTGGCTTTCACGTGGGGGAGAGGCCAAGAGTGCCTGTGACATGACTAATTCATGAAATGGTAAAGTTAAAAGAAAGGAAACAGGGCCCTAGGGACCAGTCCCCACAATGAGGTGTAATAAGCCCTCCTCAGGGAAGTGCTCTAGTCTGCAGAACGTCGTTAGAAGTCCACAGAGTCTTATTAAGATACCTGAATGCAGCCAGAATGTAGAGGAGTTTGATTTTTTTTCCTGGACAGATTACAAGGTGTTATTAGACTTGTTTTGAAGCTCACCGGTGACAGCACAAGAGCTGAAGAGCTTGCGGTGATAAACTCTCTCCTCAAAACAGCCATGGGCCTGCCCCGTCAGTTATGAATCATCATAGTTTATTATTATTACCCACGCATACAAGGTGCCCATCCCCACGGTATCTGGGTGCACGTGTGAGAGTTTTGTTGGCCAGCGGAGTGACTGTTGCCGCTTGCATTGTGACTTCTGTGAGTGCGCCAGCCATTATGGCTAGCGCCGCCTAGAACGGGACGAGGGGCTGGTGTATAAAACACAGCGAGGCGTACGTGTTGCGTTGTGTAAACAGTGCAGGTGTATGTTGTGCCACTGGGGAAGATAAATATATAGGATTGAAATTAGAACTGGTGGAAGGCGCTGTTCTGTTGACATCCCTGCTTGCAACAGATCTGGCCGTACTTCCACATGGCGTGTGAAGGAAGTGGGTTGGTATAGTGGATCCATAGCTGGGACAGGTGACTGCTTGACCCCGTAAGCCTGGCAGATCCATCCCTTTGGGAACTGATGATGTACGAATCACCAAGGTCTCTCATCCAAGTGTTGATCTAGCTCAATCCTGCTTAGCTTGGGAGATCTGACTGGTTTGTAATGCTAAAACAAGCCGTGAATGACTGCAAAGAACTGGAAGGACTCACTGTTGCAACGCTTCCATTATCTGGTGTTTTTCATGAAGGCCCAGCTGTTGGGATCAGGTTATTACCTGAGAATCTCAGCTTTCATTATAGCGACTGTCACGGAGTGTGGGGGGACACCAGGCCCTGCACCCCTGGCTTCCTGCGATTCACCATGACTCTCATCCAGCCAGTAAAGCAGAAGGTTTATTTAGACGACAGGAACACAGTCCAAGACAGGTCTTGCAGGCACAGACAACAGGATCCCCCCCAATTAGGTGCATCTTGGGGTCCCAGGGCACCACAGCCCCCTTGGGGGGTCAGAGGCCTGTCTGCCTCCCAGCCATTCCACGAGCCAGCTCTGAAACTCTCCCCCCAGCGTCCCCTCCCACAGCCTTTGTTCAGTTTCCCGGGCAAAGGTGTCACCTGGCCTCTAACCCCTTCCTGGGTTCTCATGTTACATGCTCAGGTATTCTCCCTCACGGCCAGTCTCCCATCCCCCAATGCAGACTGTCCTAGCCACACTCGCCAACACTCCCCACTCAGCATTCAAAGACCACAGTAAGAACAGTCCCAGTTCGTCACAGCGACACACCAGCTCTGCCGCTGTTAAGGCCGGGCACTCCTTTCTGGTTCTGAAAAAGCTTGAAAACGTGACTCCTAAGCTCCCTAATGACAGGAGGCAAATGAAAAGAACGTCTAAGACTTAATATTTTTAAATCATTATTTTCAAGCTGATCTCGTGATTTTTAAGGCCTGATCACAATTTCTGAACATTTCGGGTTGGCAGCACTGCCAGGCCGGATCTGGCGTAAACAGATGGAGTTGCGCTGAAAGTCAGTGGAGCTACGCTGATATTTACATCTGCTGAAAATCTGGCCCATCTGTCCTAACACAGGGATCAGCTGTGCATGCCCAGAAACAAGTCTGAGCAGAGTAACACAAACACACAGGTCTCCTCAGTGACTCAGGCCAGGCCTACACTAAAATATTAGGTCAACCCAACTACGTTGCTCAGGGATGTGAAAAATCCACACCCCTGAGTGACGTAGTTAAGCCGACCTCAGCAGCAGCATAGACAATGCTAGGCCGACAGAAGAATTCTTCAGCCAACCTAGCTGTCTCCTCTTGGGGAGGTGGATCACCTACAGCGATCGGAGAACTCCTCCCGTCGTTGTAGTGAGGGTCTACCCCGCAGATGGGTTTAAGTGCAGGCATAGCCTATAGGAGGCAGAGAATTTGTCATCTTCCTTTGTTTCTTATGGTGTCCAGGGTACTCGTTCGTGTTTGTTTGAAGCACCACTCGCTCGCATAGAAAGCAGCAACTCTGATTCATCTTTGTGCTGCTTGGGGACGGCGGTGAAATAAATATTAACAGGAAAATCTTGAAGGGTTTGTGTCACAGGCGTGGCTACCCTGTAACAACTCCTGCTGACCTAATGTGGCACTGCCTCTGCTCCCTGCTTCAGTTGCCCCCTCCCTGGTGGGCCCTTGCTGCCTTCCCACACAGGCTGGAGGTGGTGCCACAGCTGAGCCCTCTGGCCAAGTGACTCACTAAACCTTAACCCCTTCCAGGGTAACAAAAGGCCAAACAAACAAAAGGTTCTTCCACCCGCTGGGCCTCTCTTCAGCCCATCCTGCGGGCTCAGCTCCAGCCCTCTGGGCTCCCTTCCAGTCCCTCTGCTCTGGGACAGAGCCCTGACTCCCGGCTGCTTCTCTGGAGCCCTTCCAGACCCCGCTTCAGGACCTGCCACAGCAGCCCACACGCTCCCTGTGGGTCCTCCCCACACTGAGCCCTCTGCCCTTTTAAAGCCCAGGTGTTTACCAGGCTGTCACATGACCCCATTAGTCCCGCCCCCTCCTCCAGCTGAGAGGCAGGTAATTATGGCCCCGGCAGGACTGGTCCACTTTCCAGACTGCCTGTGGCAGTGCGTCCTCCCTGCGATCGGAGGTGTGATGGCAGCTCGGGTGGGCACACCCATGCTAGCTAGCATGGCTAAAATTACCAGGAACGACAGTGGCATGACCTTCAGCCCAGCTACAAGCCTGCCGGGACCCCTGGGTATGTACTGTGTTTCTAGCCCACGCCTCTGAGTCTTCACTGCTATTGTTAGCTGCACTGGCCAGATCAAAGCTAGCGTGGGTATATCTACCCAAGCTGCAACCACACCTCTGACAGCAGCGGAGCCCACCCAAAACTCTTCCCCCCACTTGGACATATTGCTAAGGCGGAAAGTGAAGCGGATAAGTAGTAGGATGTGGGTGAGCTGAGAACCCAGGCCAGGTTCACAAACTGGGGCTGAGTGTCAGGGCCGGCTCTAGGATTTTTGCCGCCCAAAGCAAAAACAATTTTGGCCGCCCCCCTCCCCCAGCCTTATTTAATTACCCCGCCCCCCCTCAACTCTGCCCCTTCCCCAAATCCCCAGCCCTGCCTCCTCCCCCCCAGGCTCTCAAGCCTAGGAGGGAGGGAGGGGGAGAAGCGGCGCCGTGCCGCGGCCGCTCGGGATCTCCCCCTCCCTCCCAGTTTTGAGAGCCTGGGAGGGAGGGGGAGCCGCCGAGGCGCGCCGCTGCTCCCCCTCCCTCCCAGGTTTGAGAGCCTGGGAGGGAGGGCGAGTAGCAGCGCGCGAATCAGCTGTTTCGCGCGCCGTGGCAGCAGCAGCGGAGGTGAGCTAGGGCGGCCGGGGCACATTTTTAGGGGCGGCATTCTGGCACGGGCCATGCCGCCCCTAAAAATATGCCGCCCCAAGCACCAGCTTCTTTTGCTGGTGCCTAGAGCCGGCCCTGCTGAGTGTTGATCCAAGTCTGGGGCTATATCTTCACAGCACAAAATGGGAGGTTTTGCATGGAGATCGCTATCTTGCTGTGAAATCCCAGAGGCAAGGCACTGGGCATTTTACTCCGTGCAGCTAGTTGAGATCAACACTAGGTTGACTGTGTTGGGGGAGGGGGCTTGTAGGGCTGACCTCAGCTAGCTACATGAAGGAGTCCACAGGCCTTCCACTGTTGCGCGGTTTCTAAACTCAGTTGACTTTCACTGCAAAGTCAATAAAGTTCTTGTAGAAAGTACAAAGTGGGTTAGATTCTGATCAGGAGTCAGGATGGACAAGAGTGGAATTCTGCTCTCTCGGTTCATCGGAGTTCAGCAGTTGCTCAGGTTAAAGACCTCAATCGCTGGATGGGAGCAGGAGGTATAGAGCTCAGCAGAGCACAAACCAAGAGTGATAAGGAGAAGAAAAGTCACGGAGGGGTTGAGTCATACAGAGAGCTGGCTGGAAAGACCAGTTGGTAGGGATCGGCTTTCAGATGTGCTCCCACACCCAGTTCCTAATGGACCTGCACGACTACATCATGAAACCCAGCCTCACTATTGGCTCTGACTGGGATTCCCGCTGGTGGCTTAGCGGAGAGGTCACGGACTGAGGGGCCGTGGTGAATGAACTCTTACCACATGCTGCCACGTAGTCCTGGCACAGCAGCGGGCACACCATGTGGAAAGGTAGCCTTGCTGCTGCCCAGGCTTTGGATAAATCAAGGGCGTTGGTTTCCAGGGCTGTAGAGGCAGCATCAAAATACATTTTATTTTTAAGAAAAAGCCCAACCTTGTTCTGAGCACAGGGGAAATCCACCCCCAACCCACCAGCGGGAGGACCAGTCTGGAACTCATTCTGTTCCCTCTCTGTTGCAGATCGCTGGTGCGTTTGGTAGGAGTGCCCTGAACAAGAGCTACCAGGGCTTGGCTGTGCTGGCATTGAGGTAGGTGCAGTAGCCTGGTGTATTTCACAATGCTGGCTCATCACACAACCGCGTGGGGGCGACGGACCTGTCTGGTTTTAAGATTAAGTTAGATAAGTTTATGGAGGGAATGGTTTAATGGTAAAACATAGTAGCCAAGGAATACCAAGCAATGGTGGGTAAATAATATAATGGCTAACAGAGGTCAGGCTAGAGACTCTTGCCTAAATGCTCGGGGTCTTACTGATCGCCATATTTGGGGTCGGGAAGGAATTTTCCTCCAGGGGTAGATTGGCTGAGCCTCTGGAGGTTTTTCGCCTTCCTCCGCAGCATGGGGCAGGGATCTCTAGCAGGAGGGTCTCTGCCAATTGAAGTCACTAAAACACAGGATTGGGGACTTCAACAGCAGAGTCCAGGGAAGGGGTAGGGACGGTTTTGTGGCCTGCAGCATGCAGGGGGTCAGACCAGATGATCATAATGGTCCCTTCTGACCTTAAAGTCTATGAGTCTATGAGAACCGCAGTCTTGCCACTGTGTTGACAGTAGTGGTGGGCAGACTCCCCAATTTTGGGAAGCTTAATCAATTTGGCTGCAAATCTTCTGAGAGCCCCTGGCTCAGAAATGCGGTAGGAGTTGTGATCCTGATAAGAATCCCAGGCCTTCTACTTTGTGAGGTGCAGAAGGGCAGGAAAATGACCCAAACAAACCCAAAGCTCAAACAAGCGTCTTCGATCAAGTGTTCAGTCAGGTTCGTATTTGATCAGAACCAGTACAACATCCTTAGTGGACACAGCCACCTTTCCTGAACACACAATGTACGGACATTCGTCTCCACAAAAATTCATCATCCCTGAAGTCTGCAGACATGTTCAGGTTCTGTGCCAGCTCTCTTTCTCTTGTGATCTGCACTGACAATGCATACACACAGGTCAACCAGCCTCTGCCCTGTGCTGAGATGAGTTCCTGTCTGCATCCTGTAAAACTTGCCCATACCGGTATTGCCCTGGCCTCTTCTTTTGTCATTCAGTGTTGCACGCATTCTAAAGCAATATGCATTTCCTCACCTTTTGGGGGCGAAGCCAGACTTTGAGGCACCTGCTCCCCTACTTGGTGTAAACTTTGCTTGTGCCAATCAGAAACGACCACAAACAGGTTTTGGGCCCCGTCCCCTATGACATTTCTATGATGTCATACTGGGTACTTTATGGGCCTGCCTGCCATGTGCAATCCACACCCTGAAGACCTTACATTGGCAAACAGGCTACACTAGGAAAATTAGAGGTAGGAATAACGTGGTGTGTATTCCTCTCTCTCCTTTCCTACTCCCCTTCCTCTTATCCAATTGCATGGAGCTGAGATTTAGCCATGTGGCTTAAATGGATTAAAAAGTAGTAACGCTGCATCACAATGGTCACATCTGGACTGTCCCAGAGTTTGGGCCAGGGCTTTGATTTGGCTGATTATTGACAAAAGGGCCCGCCGTGAAGGCTGGAGCCTGATCTATTACCTCAGAACACCGCCGTAACTAAAAAACAAGGAAATCCCAGAGCAGCTGTCTCACCCAGCACTATACCAGACCCAGAGCGTCTGCCCACGACCATCAACACACTTAGCAAATCCTAACAAATTCACTGTCGCTCTCAGCACCCTCAGCGCACACCGCAAAGAAATGACAAGCCAAACTACAGTATTACACTTCCTAGGACTGATTACATTTCCTCGCTTGATTATGATTAAAAGTACTGTACTAATAAATAAAAAATGACCACATGAATTAACTCATATTAGTGATACCTTAGATTTTGCTACAGGGTAAAACTTTCAGAGGTGCCCAAATGACATAGGAGAATTTCAGTAAGACTTAGACTCCTATGTTCAAAGTGACAGACACCAGGAGCCAGATTTTTAAAGGTATTTAGGCACCTAAAGATGGAGCTAGGCACCTAGCAAGGTGTTCAAAAGCACTAGGCGCCGAACCCCCATTGATTTCAAGCCCAGGTGCTTAGGCACTTTTGAAAATTCTACTAGGTGCCTATTTGACAAAGGTATTTAGGCACCCAACAATGCAATCTGGCCCTAAGAAGTCAAAGTCTCAGTAAAATTCAGTGGGACATAACAGCCCCTAAGTGACTTTGGCCACTCACACTGTATTTTGAGGCATTTATCTGCCAGAGGGATCAGAATAGAAGGCCAGAGCCATACGGTACATTACAGGAGCAGGTGATGAAAGGGATAAAAATCACCATAACCTCCCCGTACACCATGTCCCCTCCTCCCCCTTTATTGGTCTGGCTCATTCAAACCGGCTCAGAGAGATCCTGTGGGTGCCGTTGTCTGTCACTATCTGTCCGGTGCTCTGACGGGCCTGGCTCGGAGAAGTGCCGAGTGCAGACGGCGTTGTGAGCGCTCAGCATCCCGGCGGCCCGTTTCGCAGTTCGCATTTCATGCTGCTGTCGGGGGAATGTCTGGATCGTCTCAACCAAGTTCTGAGACCAGAACATCCAGAACCTTCCAGATTGATTTCCCCTGATGTTTGGGATGCAGCGTGCCAGGGGTCACACAGACTGGTCTGCCAGGTACCACAGGCTGCCTCTCTAGCGATCTTCCTGCCTCTGATGCATTCAGGGTGGATTATGGGTAACGAGGACATCTGTTCCCGAAGGGGAGTGGGTTAGGAGCTGGGCAGAGGCCATTTCCCTGCCGCTACCACCTCTGCTTCTGTTGCAGCCCAAGTCCCTTCACGGAGCACTTCAGGCTGCAGTTCAGTGGCACTGAAACGTCAGCGAGGCTCAGCAATGCCGTGGTGGCGCACGAATTGGCACAAGAGTACCAGGGCGCAGGGGACAAAGTCGAAATGTCCATGGACGTTGGCAGCTTGCTGGTGAGAGGTGAGCGTGTGTTTCCTAGCCCTGTCCCTCTGCCGTCATGAGGCCTGTGTGATTTAGCCTGGCCTGGAATGCAGCATGCAAGTGGGATAGGAAACAGAGACCAAGCCCTTGGTTCAACAGCAGGCACCGGAGTGCCGTGTTTTTTCCGGGTTACTGTGAACCTTTAACACACTAAGCATCGGTGTGAAAAGCAGGGCCTGGCCCATGCCTAGGTGCTGTGGAATGTGCCTCTGGCTGAGGAATGCACCAGGACCTGATTCTGATCCCATTAAAGTCAATGTGAAAATGCCCTTTGCTTGCGGTGGTACAGGATCAGGCCGCTGCGGAAGAGAGAACTGCTCCGCCCCCACCCAGGAGAGCGAGCCCCTGCCTGGCTACGAAGCTCAGGAGAGCACACATCATCAGTAAGCCCTGGCAGTGTGAGGTGAGGGATCCCTAGGAGCTGGGATCCCATTGTCCAGAAGGGGAACTGAGGCCCAGAGACGCTGACTGACTTGCTTAAGGTCCCACAGGAAGTTTGTGGTAAAGCAGGGACTTGAACCAGGCTCTCCCAAGTCCCAGACTAGTACTTCACCCACTGGCTCATGCTTTTCTCTCAAACAGTGCCCCCCCCCCCCCCAAAACCACCCACCCACCCATGCCCAACAGTCCAAACTTGCACCCCACCCAGCAGCTACATCTAATCCCATGGCTTTAGACGAAAGCCACCCCTTTTCCTTCACGGCAAATCCTAGGGTTACCATACGTCCAGATTTTCCCGGACATGTCCGGCTTTTTGGCCTCCAAATCCCCGTCCGGGGGGAAATCCCAAAAAGCCAGACATGTCCGGGAAAATCGGAACATGCGGGGCCGGCGGTGCTGGGCCGGGTGCTCGGGGGCCGTGCCGGCGGTGTGGTGCCAAGCC